ATTTTGTCTGATTATGAGTGATGTTTTATTTGAATATTGGCGCAAAGCCAAAAATATCGGCACACCTTTCAGTTCTGTACGATGGAAGGCTTTTTCACGGCAATTATCGACGAGTTTCCAATAATGCTTCGTGCCAGCAGATATGGGCGAGAGATTTTCGTCGGAGTGATCTGTCTAATCTCGTACATCATCGGTCCTCAGCACTGTGACTCAAGTTCGTTTTCAAGGAACCATTTTCAAATTGCTCCACATGAAAAACTAAGTCAGCTGACTTAAAGGCACTGGTCGCTATCGAATTAGTGCGTTTTTTTTTTCGAAAATCACAAGAAGTGCAATGAGGGAAAGTTATTGGGAAAGCGAAAAGCACCATAGAAGACACTGACATTTCCTTTGTGAAGTCGGACGCGGTATGGAGGGGAACAGCACTGCGAGGAGTTAGAAAACGCGAAGGAAAATGCGAGGGAACTTCATGCGAGGCGACGCAATCCCCGTATCTCTCCGAAGTGGTTGCTAGCCTTGTGTGACTTGTACTTAGCTGCCTCCCTCCCCCTGAACTGCACTGGCCAAACCATACAATACCACCATTATTACCATTACCATTATTGCGATTATGCCTGGGTGTATAATGTGTGTCTTATCCCAAAAAGGAGCTGATCAACGCCGAAGGACCTCTTCTTTTATGCTTTTTGCCATCACCGCATACATATTCTCTTGGTAAATGAGGTAATAAGGTAATGAGAGCAAATGAGGTAATGAGCCAAACAAATTTAGCCAAGCAGCTAGTTAATGTGTCAACAACCTAAAAAGCGGCTTATCGAAGGTTTGCATCTAAGCCACACTGATACAACTGTCGTCAATATACAACATAGTGTAAAGCAATTAGGGGGCTGAGTGATGTTTAATTGATATAGGGTAAAAAATTGTGAACAGACAGACACCATTGTTACCGTTGCGATGCTTGGTATGCGGGGAAAAAGTTGCTGGCTGTTTCGAAGTTCCACTTGCCGCATTTTTCAATTATCCTGCAGTTGTCTGAATAAAACCGCTTTTGTGGGCCAGCGTTAGCTCGTTCGTAAACCTCTGATAGCTGAGGAAAGCGACCGAGAGTAGACTTGTCAATGGGAAACTGAGGCTATTAGAATCGACCTGTTAACTGCCTTCATGATCGATGTCGGGTTCTGATATTCTTGGAGATGATTGAGAGAGCCTCGGACAAATTTCTCAAGCGCTATTTCAGATATAGATCAAGATTAATAACGCAGAGGGTTTAACCCACTCGAGCTGTAAGTTGCTCATACATTAACACAGATCAATGTGACTGTCTATCTGTGCGATGCCACAGGTCAGAAGCAGCTGAGGCCCTAAGCTGCCCACTTGCCCCACCTTACCACGCCGCATTAGGTACCGTCGTGCTGTTGAGTGTCTTCTTATCTCTTGGCCTCCGTACATTACTGATTCGTAAGTTAAAGACCAGAGGCCTGTTCTGGGTCTTGCATGTTTTATGTCACAGTAGGTGCGTTTGAGGGTTCGTCGAGTCACAGGCCAGCATTCTAATGAAGGGGGATGCATGGCGGATTCACTAAAAGGGATTATTAACGCTCAATCTTTTCGTTCCGAATTGTGAACCTTTTTTTTTCCTTGAAGCTTGAAGATTTAAAGCTATTTAAGGGTGGCTTCTATGTGTTCCAATTGTTCGATTTCTATGCCGCATCTGGTTGGGCATTGTTGTGGCTGCTTTTCTTCGAATGTATCGCAATCTCATGGAGCGTTGGTGAGTAAAATACCCTCTATGGAGACCATGGTCTCGTTTACTTTTCCAAGCCTAGCCATCGTCCTCATCCTTATTTTCACCAACTTCATTCTAGGAATCGATCGATGGTATGAACACATGAAGAGTATGATCGGCTACTATCCGAATCGATGGTGGAAATTCTGTTGGGTGTTCGCCACACCCTCGGTTTGCATGGTATGCAGGTTTTGCTTATTTTATTTTTATTTTTTGATGTTAAACGAGAAAACTCAAGCCGCCCAGACGAGAGGGCATAGGGACGAGCGAGACGCAGACGCTGCCGCATTGCAATTGTGGCCGTGTATCGCCGCGTAGGCACGAATATCTCCGGAGCGTCTCTGCCACTCGATTTCTCGGCAAGGGATTGGTACGGCCCTCCATGATTACCTGTTCCAAAGAAGGGTCTTTCATGGGCAATCCCTGCAGTTGAGACATAACAGCGATGATAGGACACGCCACGCGCCATCCCTTTGACCAGCTTCGTGCAGGCAATTGAATGCTCACGTAACCTACAGCAGGTAGCCGTTTCCACACGTATGGTCCCGCGAAGTCCATGAAGGGTTCTTATTTTGTTGGGGGAGAGGGGAGGGGGACATAGGTGACTAAACCAGTTACAGTATTTGGAACTAAGCATCAGGGAGGGGAAGCGACTCTGGGGGAGGAGGTGAGCAATTTTTGTTTTATGGCGTTCCTTTGTCCAGGGCTGAGTTCCAATATCACCTCATCGCAGTTTTCGAAGGCCTCTTCGAGAAGCCCCCTCCTCCCCTGCAGGCCATGGGCGCCTTATGAAGAATTCCTGCTGTACCAGTCTAGTCGTTTTATTCCTCACGGTCGATTGATTTTTGGCAGATACATCTAGGCGTATCCCCAAACTTGGGCCTTAAGCTGGCCCTTGCAAAGTATTACATAGGCCAGCGCGAGAAACTGAGTCTGTCACAGGTAACGGCCCAGGAGTTTGGGTTTCTAGGTAAATCCATCATATTTGCCGACCCTGTAGAAAAAATTTTCAACAGGCATTGATTTAATCCGTCCAAAGATCTACACCATGGATGTTGCAGCACTGCTAACACCCTTGACGCCTTCTTGTCAAGAAAAGTCCACAGGCCGTCTTTTTTTTTCAAAAAAAATTCAATTTTTTCCTGGCAATAAAGATTTTCTTGAATTTTTCGCTGGGAAGTCTTACATAATCCCATGAAAGAACGCCACGAGAAAGATAAATGGTGTGTGATTTCACACTCGTTGACCTCACACTTCCGTAGTGGTGCCGACAGCGGCTGGCGCCTTCCAGTGGAACAGTTGTCACTGACAGATCTCGATGGCTGCATTGCAGCTGGTGATATTAATTTGTCACGTTAGATCTGCGATTGGGGAGCAGCCGTGTGAGGTGAGGGAAAATAGCCGTCCAATGGAATGTGGCCACGGCAATGATCAAGCTGAACGATAGGTTACTGGCTGAGTTTTTTGATGGTTTCGGTAGTTTCACAAGAATGCTGGGTTGTGAACAAAACTTTCGCCCCAGACGGGACTCGAACCCGCACCTCTTGCTTACCGGGCAAGTGCGCTACCAGTTACGCTACCGGGGCACCATTTCATGAAGTTTTCATTTAATGATGCAAGAGGTGCGGGTTCGAGGCCCGTTTCCGGCGAAGCTTTTCATCATAACCCAGCATTCTTGTGAAACATGTGCAAGGCGAATTGCGGCCGAAAACAGCACTTAACAAACAAAAACAGGTTTCGGTAGTGTTTGGTAGGGCTGGTTGCCAAAAGGGACAGCATGACGCGCAAGCGCACCACAGTCTTCCACGCGGATCACACTCACAGTTTTGCTCGATTTGCCTTGGTCGGTCTACGTTCCTAAACTGTCGTATATAAAATCATCCGTTTCCGCAATAATACCCATTACTAATAATGGCATATTGAAGGAATAGTTTGAAACAATGCTGAAGAATATCAATCTGACATATAACGCACCGAGTTTCGTCAGATGTTGAGCAAGAATCATGAAAAAATAAATGAACTGTCAAAAGCGCTGGCGATCGCAAAACCAGGACAACGTCGGCTGCCATAATCTATTTCGAGACGTCTGTGGAAACTGATTTTCAGGTGAATAAGCTTCGTTAGGTGAGTAAATCAACCACTACGAATTGCCGCGCTACAACTACGACTACCCGTTCTGGGGCCACGTCTTCGGCTGGTTCCTGTCGTTATCGTCCATGTTGTGCATTCCCGGTTACGCTATCTACGCTTGGTTACCACTAAGGCACTTATGTGGAGGTGTCACTGGCTTTTTTTATGCCACGGCAAGCAAAAAATTTGTTTTTATTTACTGCGTGGCTTACTGGATAAATGAACTGCCCGGAAAGTGTAGGACCTGGGTTCATGTTGCGCACCCTTGCGATATCACTTTCATCGAAACAATCCAAAAAACCGATTTTCTATGAAAGAAAGTGAACCACAAGAAACTGCTCGGAATTATGCTCATGAATGGGTTTCACATTTCTGCTGCATTTGTTTACATTATTTACTACAGCATCTGAAAAAAAAAACGTTTTATCGCGCGACTGAGCGCTTCCGTGAGAAATGCCACTCGCGCCGTCGCGACGCGACCGCACGCGTCCAATGCCATCCCACTCGTGAGCAACCAATTGTCATCAGTTTGATTTTTCCGTTTTCAGAAGTTCAAGATACTCTTCCGTCCGGATATTGAAATTCAAAAGACGAGTCATGAAGTACACGACGACACCGAATTACAAGATTTTCATCAATTATAATTCGTATAATATTGTAGATCTCTTATAGATTACTGTAGTTGTCGGACGGTGTAGTGTCCGCAGTGACTCTAGTCATTTAGACGTATTGGCATTTGAATGTATTTAATCTGTTTTTTTCGCAGCCCTTTAAACATTCCCGAATCATTTACTTCTTAATTTTTGTATGCCTTATAACCTGCGAAGGACTTCCTCCTTCACACTCTCTCACTCCGTCGTCTCTATATTGATTTTGAATGTTATTTTACTCGTTCAAATTAGGTAATGAGGCTCTTACTTTTTTTCAGCAGTTCATATTGTTCATTTTCTACGAGCGCTTTCTCAAGAGCCGCTACTACCAGTTAATAATCACGATTTCAAGTAGCACTTAGATGGGCTGGCGCCCAAGAGCGAATTCGGCCCCGTTTGGAAGTGTCGGCAAAAGCCGACGACTTATGTAGCACGAAAAATCCTATCGAGAATCTCCTCTTCCTCACATCTCCCACCTCTGAAAATGTGGAGCAAAGCCAACGATCGGCAATAGTCTTATATGAAGAGTGTATAATATTATATAAATTGTATTGGTTGTATAAAACTAATTTGTTGATGTTGTGATGTTTATTTTGGAAATATTGAGAGCTTTCTACCAAATTCTGCAAGATAATCGGCAACAGGCTCTTTATGATTGAGCCATACAACGGTATATTGGAGGGATGAAAGATGAAGCATTCGGCATTAGTCAATGTCGTTCTGGGATGCGCCACGCATTCTGCTCTACCCAAAAGGGTCAGAAGGCTTGCGGATTTGGTTGCCGTTCTATGCGTGTAGAGAAAAGAGCCACTAGCTTTCTACACCGCTTTCACCCGTAATCCTGTCCTATCCTAAAAACATTCCTAGCCCCACAAAAAACAAGCCACTTCCGTTCATAGGATCATACCCGGGTTAAAACTAGTAAGCCTGACGAATTTCATTTAATAGATTGGAATATCGCTGTAGCAGCCTCGGTACATTTTTCCTAACCACGCTATCGTCGGAGTCAGCGGCAAAATCGCGGAGTACGAGTTCGGTCCCCGTTTAGACAAAGAGCTTTCCACATAATCTCCACTCCGTTTTGATAACAAGATGAAGTCCGCCAATAAAGAATAGGCGAAATTATACAGAACTGAATAAAAGTAAATCAATCGAATGCTGGGAGAGATGAAACACCACATTGAGGGGGGGGGCAGGGCACTTCATTGTGCTCTCCAAGATTAGGGATAAAGATAAGAGTTTCCATGCCATGTAATCGATTCATTTAAAATTACTTGTGGAAAGGATCGGTGTAGTGTGGAAATAACCCTAAAAAGGTTTTAAATTTCGACCTGGTCCCCTGGTCCAAGGAAATGGTCCTTCGCCCTCGTGCAAGGGCGAAGGACCATTTCCTCCTTTTCTGAACTAGGGTATGGACATCCTTTCCTAGACATGCCATAAATTGCCCAGGATGTGAGCAGGATGTGCGGGATGTAGAGCATACACCGGTCCTTATCAAAAGTGCACTTGAAATGAGTCGTTTACCTATTATCTTATCCATAGGGTTAAAGTCCAAAGGAGTGCTCTCTAGTATACGGATAAGATAACAGGGAGTGTCCCGCCCCCTCCGAAGTGGAGTTTCACCGCTTGGAGGTAATCACTCTATTTTGTAAGCGCCATACACTTAGCGGACCTCGTGACTGCGCGGGACCAACGCTAGGGGGAAGAAGGTAAACGCCATGCACTAAACTTCCTTAGAGGTATATACCTTTTCGACCTACTAAGCCCCTGGGATATGTTGATGTGGTCCAATATATCCAAACCGCTCCGAAATTTGCTCCAGATTATTAGTGATCTTTTGGGGGTTTGGGGGGGGGGGGTGGTGGTCCCATGAACCGGATTGGCTTGCGCTTCCGATAAAGACAGTCCAGTCCATCAAGGAGCCTAATAGGGCTGTTTGTCAACTTCGAAGAGCTTGAGGTAAGAAATCCTCAATGATTTTTGAATACTTTCAATGAGGGCGGGTTCGCAGAGGGAATGAGACGGGAACACTGTAGCATTTGGAGCTTCAGCGGTGTTCCTCA